GCGGGTTTAGAGGAAGGAAGGCAGCAGGTTACCTGTTATCAAATTCCCCAGCTACAGAAGACACGCTGTGGGCAGCCCGTCGACCCGTCCCCAGCAGATCCGGGTCCTCGGGGGCGTCGGGCTGCCCTGCACTGCTCGGATGTCCGCAGTTCTCCACAGTGTCCTCCGGGGCGCTGGGGAGCTCCATGGACAGGAAGGAGCCCCGGGCCACCCGATCAAGACAGTCCAGGAGCTTCACGCAGTCGCGCAAGCACAGCGGCAGCTGATCCCCGGAGCTCCCGGCCGCCTCCACGAACTCCCGAAATGCCCTCCAACTCGTGAGGCGGACGTCGGCGCCCCCCGACCCTCCGTCCTGGAAGCAGCCGAGCAGCAGCAGGGCCTCCGCCAGCCTCCCCCAGTAGCCCTCGGCCTGGAAGAGGTGGCTGTTGGCCGGGTCCAGGTGGATGGCCACGGCCACGGCGCGCAGGGTCAGGAGGAGCAGGCCCAGCAGGCTGTCGTGATCCAGGGCGGCCCAAGCTCTGGGGGGCTCGCGGCGCAGCGCTCCCTCCATGTCCAGGACGACAGACAGCAGCCCGACGAAGCCCCTCGCCGCCCGGAAGGCCGCCCAACACGTCCGGGTCTCCAGCGCCTTCAGCAGGGACTGCGAGCGGGAAAGAAACGGCAACTGCTTGGCTTCGCGCACAGAAACTAGAGCGCCTGAGTCCGTGAGTCTGTGTGTCGTGTGTGGGGGGCTATTTGTGGAAACAGTGCAGTGTGTTTGCCCCCCCCCAGCCTCGAGTACGCTCTCTCTGTAAACCTTCAAAAGCCTGGGGGGCTGAAATAAAGAAGGAAGCTGCAGAGCATTTCCACCGAATAGTGGTGGCAAAAAAGGAACCAACCCAAGACCCCCTTCCCTTGGATGTGCTTAAATTGCTATTATTCTCTAAATATGTAAGACACAGTATAGAACTAAAGGTCAAAGCTGTATTAATAGGTGGCAGGACTAATGCTTTGGTCTCCACAGCTTCAAGGGCCCCCTTCACAATCCAGGCCTTCCCGGCGTAACTCCCCATCAGCACCTTCCTCAGACCACAGCAGAGGGCCGCACTCTCCACGTTCCTCTTTAATGAGCTCGATCTTTGCCATTAAAATCAAATTCTGGTGATTTTCGAGTCATTTTAAACAAGCAGGCTCTGCAGTACATAAAAATAAATATATTTCTTGGGGAAATGGATTGTGAAGAGCCGGGAGAATTAAATTAGCGTTATTCAATTTAGCATGATGATATATCAAATGGGTAAATGTGTCATAAAGGGAAATACAATTTAATCAGCGCCAATAGAAGTAATCAGAATGGCTTTGACACATTTCGGTAAAGGTCACAGGAAATCTGATTGCCACTGGCTCAAACCCAGTTACAGTTTAATCGCCTGTGAGTTAGTATTCCTCTGACTTGAATCTATAAAAACTGATGTGTACTGTAAGTCAGTAATTTGGTTAGACCTAATTGAATTTATTTCACATTCCATGATCTGATATTGCTCATAATTTTTGGTGTGTCACACTGCAAGACTGCCGGTGTAATCAAATTGAAGCTGAGTTAACAGCTAAATATATATTAGCAAATCAATCTGAATTTGCCCGTAATGCAATCAGGCTCCCTTAGGCTAAGATAATAAATTCACTTGCTTATTATGTTTTAAATGTGTTACAATTTGTCAAAATTAGACATAAAAACTGAATTTGCACATCATTTTGGACCTTGCACACTGAATTGGTTAGTGGAGATGTTTTCAATTCATAGCAGTAACTGTTGCTTTTATGAAAGCATTTCAATTTATGATAGCAGATCAAAATGTATAAAGAGCAGAGCTGTGTTAGTGCACGTGCTTAGTTATTAAGCTATTTTAGGGGCAAAGCAAGATGCCTTCATCTCCTAAATGGAAATCAGTTGACTGATCAGATGACTACATGAACGTGAATCTACTTTGTTTATTTTTCATTTGAACAACATGAGTTTACTATAATTCAGACAGTCACTGCAGAAAATAATGGCATTTGATCTCTTGCAGGGCAATACTATTGGATAAACTACCAACTTCAGCCAATGTGATAGAGATCCTTGATTACAGGAAATAAGACCTGTCAAATCAAGGCTTCAGCCAACCTCCAACAGCACAGCGCCCCTGAAAAACCTCACTCAGGGAAGAGGAAGACAGAGCAGTTCCTGCAGCCTGAGACACATGAGGCTGTTTTACTGAAGTGAAAATATTTAACCACACGGACATTATTTCCAAATCAGGCTCAGGCAATCAACATATTTTAAGTGAAAAACCAACACCAATACTTCAATAATCATGTATGTTATTTAAATTCAAACTGTTTACCTTACTTGTTTACTTGTACATTGTCTGCTGTTTGTTTGTATATTGTCTTGATACACTGTCTGCACTTGTTTTAACAATCGAGAGACTTTCTGCAAGTAAGAATTCCGTTGTACCAGTACATGTACCGGTTAAATATGGCAATAAAGTTCAAGTTCAAGTTCAAGTTATATAACTGCTCTAAATAAGGACAAAAGCAGCGCTTTGTATGACAGATTTCGTCTTCAGCACAAGACAAAAGCCCTATCCTACACCTCTGGGCAGTGCGGCAGCGATTGCAATGACAAAACCCCTATTATAAAAAGTTTAACCTTTGAAAGACATTGTAACTAGTTCACTTAGTACCACACAACCAGATGCATCAAGACTTCATCTTAAAATGTATCTCATGCTGTTTTGCGACATACTGTACTTTTCAATGATTTCTTAAAACTAAGCACACATTTGAATTCATTCCAATATCAGAGAGCTTGACCTAGGTCTGGCCAGAAGATATTGTGCAATTAGACTTCATGGAGAAAAAGATGCTCTGAAAGATTTTGTAGGCTGTACAAGAGAACAGAGGTGATGGGCACCTGCAGAAGGTCGTGTTTCAGCAGGATCTCTCCCTCCGTGGATGAGCACAGCTTTCCGATTACCGTGCTCATATACTCCTCTGGGTTTATAGCTGACAGCTGTTCCATAATGCACAGCGCAGAGCTCCGGAACTGCTGATCATCAAGAAATATCTTAATATATGGAACCATCCCAGTGTCTCTTAAGAACACTAAAAGAAGTAAAATATGTACAACAAGAAAAATAAATATGATTATGCAAAATCTACTTTTATACTTAAAATTACATATTTGCTCTTAAATAGTACTGTCAAATATTGACATGCATAAAGTATATCATAAGTTTTATTTCTGCAAGTAAATCATACATTGAAATACTACAATAATAATAATAATAATAATAATAATAATAATAATAATAATACTACAATGATCATTTTTTTTGTCTACAGTCTATTAAAGGAATCCAATTTTCCTAGGACTTTATTGCAGAAATGAAATTGTGAACACATACTAGTTGGTGTGATAAATACACGTACATCACATAGTATAAGATAATGCTATCATCCTTACCAGTGTTTTTCACAGATTGTAATGTCAGTGCAGCTACTACTTTCAGCATATTAGAGGTTAGGTTCTTCTGAATGTCCTCTTCATGCAAGAGTTCCTTGGTGCCTTTGGTAAAAAAACAGCTCAGTTTTATTACTTTTGCCAAGAATGTGCTGAAACATTGGTCTGTGCAGAAGAAAAGCTAATACAAATAAACTGCAGAACGGAGCTATTAATTAACTACAAATCAGTAACTGTTTATGGAAGAACAAAGAAACCAGTGAGACACAATTCAATCCTATCTGTCGTACCTGCTTTTCTCAGAATCTTAGCTTGTTTCCGCAGTTCACCCAGGAGAAATTCCAGCAGCCCTGAGTCACTGAAGATGTCACTGAACAGCCCATTGTACATCACCAACTTGTAAAAGCACTCCAGCATGGCTGTATTAAACCCAGGAGAGAGGTTTTGTCGAAAGATACAGTTGATTTTATTCAGTGTCTCATGAGGAATGTAGGACAAGTGAAAAACTACAAGTTCCACTAGCTCAAAAAACAGGCGGTGAACCTGCTGAGGTTTCAAACAAATGCATTCAGCAAGCTGTGAGAGAGATTGCAGAGTCCACTCCAGAAGAAAGAAATTTGCCTTCTCCCAAGTCCAGATCTTTTTAATGGTATGCAGAATTTGGGTGCAGATGTATGGGTTTTCGGATTGGAGAAAAGCCGACTGCAGAACCCTGAAAGCTGGGAGATTTTTCACAGAGGAAGAGGAACCTTGAAAACATGAAAGAACAAATTCAGCTTTGCAGCCAAAATAATTTATTTTAATACTTAATACTTAACTTAAATATTTACAGCACTCTGCGTGGACACATCATTTACAGATTGGTAGCCTAAGGCCACAATGTAAAGGCAAGAGTAGACAGGTTTATTAATAACACGTGCTGCAGCTTCAGTAAGTGCTTTAGCAGAATAAACTACAGTATGTAGACACCAGCATGACAAGTAAAGTATATCCTTGGATTAAACAGACAAAATCTGCTAAAGGGAATTTTGTCTGTAAAATAGAAATACTTGTCTTTTTGTGTGTAATAACTGGGGAAGTGCACAAATAATTAAACAAGGTAAACATAAATACTACATAGGTATAAAATGTAGGAATATCACTGATGTCATATAAGGGTAGGTAGGTCAATGGCTTATGTTGGGTGTTGTTTGTGTTTCCTATGCTTTAGTGAAGTTTATACAGTATATTTACAACACATAAAGTAAAGAGATGGTTTACTTAAAATATAAAAGACACAGGAACAATGTTCATTAAAATTGATTGCAACTGTTAAAAAATAAGTCAAAAGATTCAGAAAGTACAAATAGCATATATCTGTCATGTAATAGTGTGTTTTTGGCTGAAAAAAAAACCACCATTTGTGATGTAATGGACACGCACCAATAAAAGACACCTCTTCCCCTCTATTAAACCATTAAACGATTGGGTTGACGATTCCTAGCATATGGGTTCCATGAAATAGTGAATAGATACTGGTATCAGGATTGCCTTTACCAGGGGGAAACCAAACTCATCAGGGCAGCACAAGCAGTAGAGTGTGCAGTGTAATTGTACAAAGGGTAATACACTCAAAACATATCATATAGCAAAGTGACAGGAAGAGGTCAGTGGAGAGCCAAGAAAGTAGGACAAATTAGCCGATCGAAATACACAGGCCTCACATTGCCAGGCTTTGGCAAGACGGTAAGTACTTCAGCTCTAAAAGCTGCACCTACAGTATTATCGCTGCACGAGCTGGAAGAATCACATTACAGAATGAAAAGTCATCGCATCATATTCTCACAATCAATGTGCCTGCCTGCACAGGCAATTTACTGTAGCAATATAACAGTTGAGACTGAGATTTTGTTGCAACAAAGGAAATATATGCATACAGGGCAAGCAGCATGATTTAATTTCAGTGCTGATTAAAATCAAATTATAGCAAAATGAAATAAACACCTCGTGCTTCACCTTCTCTTGTCATAGGCACCTATAAATGATAAATGGCTATTTTGTGAAGAGCCATAATAAGCAAGTATAGTACTTCTTAATCTTATTAGACTAGGAAATGATACTTCATCACCCTGGGCCCCACTGCCTTTTGGGAGGCATGCCATTCTTTTGGAGCAGGAAGCTGTGCCGTTTGCTTGCTTACCGGTGCTGAGAGGCGGATCAAATGAGAATCCCGGAGGCTGAGGATTGCTCACACAAACAGCGACTTTTAATTCAGCTTTGCCACAGACGGTAAGTGAGGCTATGAAGTCCATCAGGTCCTCAATAGGTTTTCCATTCTTGTCGTTCAATCCCTCATCACAACTGCAACCATGCAAAGACATCGGTACGTCAACATTGTTGTGTGGCGCAACATGGAATATCACCTGCTTAAATCTGAATTTATTTAAAGTTTATCTTGGAAGGGAGATTTTCTCTCTACGCTATTGTACTTTACACCGTAGAAATAAAAAACAAATCTAGGAGGCCTATTCTTCACAGGACAGGCCTTTTAATTTGACAGTGAGCACTGTGACTGATACGAAGCCAAAGCGTTGTCAAGCTTATAGTCCTGGTTTTAAGGGGAACCAGTGATTCAGGACATCAGTGATATCTAAAACCTCATACTGTAGCATGCCGTTACCCACTGTGAGCCCTGCGAGACTGTGTGAGATCAACGCTCTTCACAGACATCAGGAGAGAGTTCAATCTCTCCCCACAGCTGAGTGCCACCACTGGCAGCCTATTTCAGATCATGTGCTGTCCACAGATAGTGCCCGAAGACTGCCAGCACCGCTCATCATTAACAGGGTAAAGCTAAAGTACACGGCTCTACCGCTCAAGCCATACTGCTGATGCTTGCTCCAGTAACCTGACTGCGTAGATACAAGCACAGGCACTTCTTCTGGTTGGTACTTCACAAGTTCATATTTACATTGCAGCTTCTTGCCTGTTCTGCACAGATCTTCTTGGGAATGTTGCAAGGTCACAGGCAGTTCTGCATCGCACGAACATGACAGCACTTTGTTGAGAGTATTTCGAGACCACCCTGCCTCCATCACAACTAATGTGCTGCATTTAGCAGAAAATATGATTTCCTTTCTAACAGTCTCATTCTTTATTTTCCACGAGATTGTAACTCTTGCAGCCGGTATTGCCCTTTACTGTCTTAGAACCGATTGCACTTTTCCAGTCTCCCAAGAGCCGCTCCAGTTTGCAAACTAACAGGTTAGAGGATGATGCCATCTCGCTGGCCCTGCACTTGAACTTGAACACCTTGACAGATGGGACACCTGTGTCAGGATGCTCTTTTCTGATTACAGCTCAGCCTTCAGTACAATTGTTTCCTCTGAGCTGGTCTTGAAACTCAAAGCCTGTGTCATAATACAGGATGATAACCACCCCATGATCAAACTGTTCTCACCTCTAAGGTTTGGCAGTGGTACTGCAGCACCAAAACACAGACCTCCAGGTCCAGGAACAGTTTTTATCCCTAAACGGTATGTATCTAAAACAGCATATACAGTAGCTAACTGCAAACTGACTGACTACTAGCCACCACCAGTGACTGTTGAATTCTGCATGTATGCACTGCATAATGCACAGTTTTTGTTTACTACTGTATATTGTAAAATTCTGTATCTTGTTTTGCATTGTGTACTGGAAGGAACTGTCTTTGCACTGTTCTGTTACCGCTTTTATTGTTTACTGTCTTCACCTGTCCGTACACTGAGAGAACAAGCGCAATTAAGAATTCCAATGTACTTGTTACAAATGGCAAATAAACTTTAAACTTGAGCTTTGAGCTTTCTCGATTCGCAGATATTGCACTGACATCCAGAGATATCACAGGAATTATAGATTTGCACTCCATACAGGACCCTAAACATTTCCTGAAATGTTTCGAACTCAATACGTCTGGGGACATGAATGAGTATGAACAGTACTTGCCGGGACAGTATTGTCTCCAGAATCCTGTAGCCCTCGTTATTCTCAAAGTCCTCCAGGAGTGCTGGGCTGAGAGGGTAAGAGTCCCTGATGAAGCTGAACACACCGACAGCCACCTCTGCCAGGACAGGAGCTGGCACCTGGTCCAACATCTTCTGCAGGTTCTGAATGCAGATCTTCACACAGTCCTTTGCTAAAGGAGAGTCCATGAGGGAATCGAAGAGCAAGAGCAAGTCAAAAACTGTCTGGAAGTGTTATTCATTTTTAAGGCTATTTATTTTTACTAATGCCATCACCAGACATACTGTAACAATGCAAATAGAGGCCAGCCCTTTTCCCCCTTTTTTACTACGATATGCAAGATGACAAGGATGTTGCATGGTACACTGTCTATGAGGTAACACCTCCCTGTCCTCATTGGGAAACCCAGACACTCAGTCCTGGCATATGCTAAATACCTGGCTGTTCAAAAGACTTTAAGGAAAGCAGTTGCTGTGACCACTGAATAATCAATGTCATGTGAATTACAATGAATCGATGGATAATTCACATAAAGAGAATGAAGTTTTGCACGAATGCTTGGAACACAAGCCTCCTGCGATAGCCCAGGGTTCCTCTGGTGTGTGGCCATGGACTATGCATTCTGAAGGGGATTAATCACTATTACTGGGCTGAGTGTGACACAAGCACTGTTGTCAGCACCAGTAATTGTGGTGGATGGGCAGCTTTATTGGGTTATTACTGATAAAAATGCATTCGAAAAAATATCTTGAATATAGACATAAAGAATGTCTGATAAATGTACTGTGTTTGCCTAGTAATGGAAAGAATCTACACAAATAAGAACAAAGCATTTGTGATATTGGACATATGAATTCATATTGAAATCAGCTCCATGATAAGGGCATCTCTGGCATCATCCACCCATCCTCTCTTCCATCCATTCATCTGTCAATCCACTCTTCCATCCCTCCATCCATTCCTGATCAGAAGGTAGGGATCACAACCAGGAGCCCTTTCACAGCACGGGGAGCAAGTAAGAACTACACCCTGGATCGGACACCAGTATTGACCTTTAATATTGAACAACTGCACAATCTATCTGAAATAACAGCACTCACTATCTGATTAAGTTGAATAATTTGTGTTTCTTAAAGTATACTTCTTGTATGCTCTCAAACACTCATACTTCCCGGAATATAGCGTCAGCGAACCGGGCGCCAATACTGAACATGTCTGCAGTAGGGGTAAGCGGAAAGCTGTGTTCACCTCTCAGAGCTGCGGCCGTGTTCGGAGAGCCAGCCCCCGACAGGACTCTCAGCACCAGAGACGCCTGGCGTCTCCAGGAAGGGCTGCACTGGTCCCACAGGGACGTCAGGGCTATAATTAGGCAGTGCAGCTCACAGCTCTCCACCACTTCCTCCACACATGGCTTGTGCCCACACAGCGACGAGGTTATCTGAAAGATCAGACAGCGAGGACGTCTTCCACCACTCCTAAAACTACATACAGTTATTGACCTGCGTTTTTTTTTCCTCGGAGTGAATCTTTACCAAAAGAGGAAAAAAATGAAGATTGTAGTATACAGTAATTAGTATACATTAGTATACTTACTGATCTCCCATTCATTTTGATCTAAAACATATCATTGTGTTCATGGACCTCTGACATCTAATTGAAAACAGCAGGGAAACTACAACTTTATTACATACCACTGTCTGTTGTAGTACTGTTGGTGCCTGTCCAGCCTAATTAACTATAATTAGTACAAAACAAAGCTTACTAGCTCTTCCAGGATATGTCATGGATTATTCACTGTGCAGAGGCCACTGAATGCCCTGCAAACCACTCACACTAGTCACTGAGGTTTTAATGCATTCATATCTAATTAATTTAATTCAAATTGATTAATTGAAATGAAACAAATGCCCTGATTACCTGAATGAACACTTCCTGGAAAGAAGAGTGGGCCACTTCTTCGCCAGGCAAGGACACAAACAGATACAAGCATTTGATAAGAGCAGATGGTAGCCCGCTGTGGATGATGGCTGCAAGGGACTCCTACAAAACAATTCACACAGGCAAGAGACTGTCATGTTGAATAGAGTACAAGTGCTTTTTGTTGGAAACCTGCTAATAGCAGGGAACATTATAGGAGAATTTGCTAATAAATAGAGTATTTGTGCATACTCTGACCCCTAAACACACTGCAATACCTATCAAAGCAAAACAGCAGTCCTGACAACTTCCTACAGGTAATAAATTAGAGAGTGTTACCACCTTGGAGCGTAATTTTGTCAGATCTTAGCAGCTTAGCAACACTGATCAGTCCTGACACCGCTCTGAGGGACCTAGGTTGCTGCTGTAAGGGGTGGTGGTGGACCAGCATGTCCCTGCAGACCAGTATTTACAAACCACTGTCCCAGTATGGTGACAGGAGGCACTGTGCTTTAGACGGGAGCTTCCTTCAGCTCAGATGTTAAACCAAGATCCACACTACTCTGCCAGTAAAGATGCCATGAATGTTTTTGGAGTCCTGATTGAAAATTCCTCTGTGGTCCTACTCAAACTGGCCTCCCTACATTTCCCTCTTCATTCAAGCGATTTCTCACTTGTCCATAAGATATCTGATCTGCACAAAATAGGTCTCCTCCTATACAGCATGTAAAGCACTCTGGGATCCTTAAAGATGAAAAACAATAAAAATACACATTATTGAATTAATTATTGATATGTTTCATGGATTTGTAATTAATAACAAGAACACGTCAGTCCCGGGTTGTATATTTAACTCATTAGTTAAATTCGTTATTTCACGAAGTCACTAAGGTTTTATCCACACCTTCAACATGGCCCTACCCATCAGCGAGAACTTTGATTGAATAAATTAATTTTACCAAGACGAACGTATACTGTGGTTAACTCACTGAATCCACACTGCACAAGAAACTGATGGACTTCAGCAAGAGCCATCCTCTGTTGCTTCTCACTTCTTCTTTCCACTGAAAGAATTGTTCCACCGCAAGGCGCGCTTCCTCTGTTTAAAACACACCAACCAGCAGCAGCGTCACAAATACAGCTAAGTGCAGCGAGCTCAGACGTTAATATCAACAGGAATGTATTTTTGGTGAGCAAGGCAGGGATCCACCCTTGACCGGACGCTAGCTGATGACAGGGCACACACACAGCACACAGGAACAGCAACCTAGCCAGCATGTCTGGATGCTGTAGAAGAATCACGCATTGAGAGTAAATTCAGGGAAACTCAGTGAGAACATGCGAACGATGCACAGCAGGCACCCCAGGTCCAGATCTCCACAAGGAAAGTGGTTTATCAAAGTGAAGCCATCAGGTCTCATACAGCCAAAGAACAGGATGTATAAATTCAACTGTCCACTTCTTTGCCAAGGGTTTTTCTGCCTGACAATTTATACCTGTTGTTTCAAAAAGCTTACAGTTGCATGATGGTGTGGGAATTAGACCTTAAAGGAAAATGAGAAAAAACACATATAGGAAAAATGTATGCAAAACCTTTTACATTTCATATTGCAAAACAGCATAACCATAGTTTATCCTGATGGAACTGTGGAAAAGCAGACACAATTTCATTACTCAAAACAGAACTCCACTAGTTCCCTACAGAGGAAAGTACCTCAACCCACAGGCACCCTAATATAGCAGCCGTAATGAGAAACCCAGCCACGTCGGTGCTGCTTAGATCTTGCTCAGCAGCTGATGTTAGCGGGGCACCACAGCCGAAAAGCGACAAGGTTGTCTTCTCAACAACACCTGACTCTTCACGACACTTTACAGAAAACATTTCAGGTAATGATAGAGGCCTCTGGCTGACAGAGATGATAGCAAATAATGAGAAACAAAGCTTCTGCAAGAGGCAGCAGAAAAGTGTTACAGGCTGAGGTACAGTAGGTGACAATGGAGGTGTCTAAGACTGTAGAAAAAGTGTGTAACACCTGGCAGTGTAAACATTTCCAGCTTCAAAGCAGGTGAGATGTTTGCTGAGATGTAGGGGGTCCAGATCCTGTGATCAAAGTAATCAGAAAGTTTACTTTGGTTTGCCGTACTTAATTAGTTCCTGGGTAAATGATGAAAGGATGACGAAGTGTCAATCGACAGTCCAGAAACACACCATAAAAAATCAGATGAAGACAGAGAGAAAGGAAAAGAAGAAAAAAACAAGGAACCATAAGCGAGAGAGAAAACTGGAGGGAAACTCCAAGCATCTTTCAGACGAGAGAGTCCCTACTTCACGATCATCCAAAAGGACCTGATTGGACCTTAGTACTTGAACCTTGCTAAATCTTGCTAAGCTTGCTATTCTGGGCATTTAGGGAACTTAGATTTCCTGAGAGTAGAATACCTTGGTTAAAAATGGTCATTCCTGCTGCTATTTTTTAGATTAGGGAGATAAGCTCCCATTTGCTGTATTTTGTGGCATCTGGATTAGCAGAGGGAGAGATTTAACTACGGGCTGTATTACATTTAGTTTAAAAGGCAGCTTCTCTCTTATTTGGGCCTCTGTAGGCATTATTTAACAGTTGAATACTTGGTTTACTGAGGTTTTTCTGGGTGGTCTATGTTTCTGGTTTGTTTTCTATGTCTAGTGCTTGTATTTGTTATTGGTGGTAAATATTTGTTTTTACCAAGTGTGCCAGAATTACTATTTTCACCAAAGCTGTATTACATTGTATTTAATTTACTTATTGACTCGGCCACTTGGTCAATTTCCTGTTACTCACTATTTTCGTAACCCCCAATTTGTAACAATATTCTGGCATTTAAATGTTTTAATTGTTTAGTAACTCCTTGTGTCATATAGGGAGTCAGAATGATGTAGAAAAGGTTAGCTGTTAAATCAACATCACATTAGATTGCTTCTTGCAAGAAAAACAGAAGGTAGATAGAAATGTTGCACAATTCTGAAATAGAACAAGTGCAACATTAAGAGTGGTTTACACAGGTAGGCACAGGTCAAGCAAGAGAAGACAACTTAATTTTAAACTCAGAGTATTGTTCTGTTTTTAGAAACATCCGTCCAGTTTCTAACCATTTCAGCCAATTCAGGGTCACTGAAAAGCCAGAGCTTTCCTGTTACAATAACAGTACAATAACAATGTACCTCAACAGGTATTGTACAGTGTACCTCAAGGCGGGGTATACAGTCAATCACAGTCAATCACAGGGTACACACACAAACACAATCCCGCCAGAGTCAATTTTCCCAGGAGTCAATGAACCTGCCAGTATGTCTTTGGACAGTTTGACTAAACCAGACTAACCAGAGGGAACCCCATGTGAACACTGGCAGAAGTTAGCAATACAATACATACCTGCAGGTCGGTTTGAAACCTTCTCCTGTATATCTGTTACCAACATCTGGGCAACTTCACCAGCAAAGGTCTGTAAGTTCTTTACGTGGTCTTGTAAACAAGAGCTTTCAGCAACCTGCAAGAAAAGAAAGTGAATGTAGTGAAACTGAGCATCTGGAGTCACAGGCATTTGACAACAGGTATAAAAGAGGAAATTCTCTTAATGTCTCTACAGTGGCCATATACTGTTGATTGCATGGGAAGTTATGTCAAATATTTTTTATCAAATGTTTTTTGTCAACTGTTGACCTATTGGTCGTGATTTCTTATCTTTTTAGTTCCTCACTGTTTTATTATGTTTGTCCTCTATTACTATTATTATTATTAAACCTTTTGTGATTATAAATAAGTCTGCTAGCACATCAGAACACACAGAAATCTTGAATTTTCCCCTTCTGACCCAAATCTTTAAAGCAAATAGCGATTTTCAATAAGACACAGTGAAGTGAGATCATACTTTTTGTGTACTATTATTAAATTTTCGACCCCAATTAAAATAATAATAGATGATTAAAGGAACAGGAACAGAGCTTTTCTCTGATATCTAACACAAATATTCATTCTGCACCCAAAGCAGGTGCATTTTAACATCAGTCCTTTGTGTTCTATGAACGTTTTACAGAGGATATCTGTTGCCACTAGCCCAATAATAAATAATATCACTTTCAGTATATCGCTTGCCATCTTACTTTTTATTATCACTTACTGGATACTATGTACTTTTTACACATTGGTGTTCTGTGTAGTACCTCAATAAAAAGTGGCAGTAGGTCAAGTATCTTTGTCTCCCGTTCCTCCTTTGGAAGCTGACTGTTTCTTTCCAAGCGCAACAGCTCGTCGCTCAGTCTTGGCTGTGCCATAGCGGAGTCCTGCTCCTGTGCCTCCTGGACACCCTGGTGCTGTTGGGAATCTCCAGGCCTTTTGGGAATCTCCACCTCGGAATCTTCTCCCCGTTCTGAGCTCACTGGCTGCATGACTCGCGCAGGGCTTTCTCTTGACAACACAGAAGTGGAATGTTAGTGGCCTCTCTGTAAGGCAGGTTACCACCCAATCAAGGACACATGACGCCTTTGCATCTAACAACACAGGCCTTTGCTTCAGCAAAATACCTGCCTTATAAAATAGTATAAGCAGAAATGCCTAGATTTTTTTTTGCACCTCCAACTTTTACGCTAAAATCACCACCGAATACAGTCGCTGCATACTGTGGGTTTAAGTAACAAAAAAAAAATCAAAGGTTTTGTCATAAGAAAACCGTCTTCACTTCTCTAACTTCTTCCACCCCTGTATTCATCTACTGCACACTTCAGTATAAGAACACAGGAACGGTAACAAACATGAGGGGCGCATCTTGCCCGGCTGGCTAACTGGGTTTTACTGGCTAATTGATTCCAGGATCTTATCCTTCCTTCTTCTTCACATGGTACAGTATCTCCTAGGTGGTTTCGGCTTTGACAACATGGCTCAGGCGATTGTTCCAGAGACTTCTACAACCCTACAACACACAAACAGTTCTCAAAACCGTTTTTCTCTTTCTTCTTGCTGTTTACTATAGCAGCCTTCTGAGACTGACAGAGATTAGAGTCAGCTCTTAGTATCACACCTCAAGCAGATATTTGGCTGTCTAATTGTTTCCTGTGCTAAAGGGGTAGGAGGATAATTCTTTTTCTTTGAGGTCACCGAACCACACACACACACTACTGTCGGGGAGACATTTCAACACACTGTAACTGCGAAATGTAATTCATCTTCTTAATGACTGTGGAAACATGTTCATTGGCAACAAACTACTACAGCTCGGCTGCATTGTGTAATGCAGTAATCTTACTATAGGACTACACTGCATTATATATCGACATAGCAAAGGTTACAAATGAGAGAGCATTGGGAAAGTGAAAACAGGCCACTCATTACATTTCTGTAACTTCCACTATTTGCCTATCATATATTACTCATTTACATTGGAGCCCGAAGTCACCTTGGATAGAAGATTGAGCCAAATGAATGATGATAACAACATTTGGTTTATTTTAAGAAAACTTTTCCCCCATACTGCTTGGGCAATGCAAAAATAAACTTTAATTTTTATGAACGGATTTTTAGTTTACCAGATTGCTGGTAATATCTTTTTGCTTTGCTCTCCAGGCTGTGTTGAGGCAGGACAAAGGAACCTGGCATCTGGAACTCTCTGGATCCTAATTTCCTAATTATTACTCACAAGCAGGAGGCATGACATGTACAGTCACAGCCACCGAAAGCAGAAGACAATGTGAGAAATGCAGAAGCCACACAGGAGCCATCGCTGTCCAGAACTGAGCCCAGGACACAAGAGCTGACAGACAGCCGCCTGACAGTCCACACCACCCCCCTGCACAGAAAACAGAAATGAAAATCAGCCCACCTGTGTGCTTCATCTTGCTGCTGTCTTGGGCTTGCTGCGAGCTGGCCAAGTCTTGCAGAGGACTGTCCTGTTGTTCTAACACCTCAAAACCTGTTCACCAACACAAGTGCCAGCCGCGTCTTCATCCAGCAAATATTTGAAACGTGTGGGGGGTGTGAACTTTGTACAATGAATAACTCCTAACTCCGCCACGCTAAATCATGTGCTTCATTTCCTGGGAGGAAAAGCAGAAGTGAAGAGATCAGTTGTTACGCTCAAAGTGTTTTACACTCACTTTTAAAGCACACACATGCAGCTTGACATTAGACCCTGCCCCTCCAGTTTCTGTTAGAAGAGACTGTGAAACAGAACTGATAACCCCAGCTCTCCTATTACTTATTGCTTATCACTCTACAAATGCTATACAGCTACAGTCCGGCCACACAGCTCAGAAGTTGTGGTTGTCAGCTGTTCATGTGCTGGCACATCTATTTCAGTATGCAAAAGCTGCCTGTTTGATGAGTGCTCTAGATTAGTTCGGTGTGTTAGTTTTAGAGGTTTGCTGCAATGGCAGTGTTTGTGCTCTTCCCTGTGTTGATGTGGTTTTCTCCAGGTGCTGTGTTTGTCCTCCTGCAGTCCGAAGATATGTTGCTCAGGTTAACTGGCGTCTCTACATTGCCCCTCCTACGTTTGGGAGAAGGAATGTGTGTGAGTGTGTGTGAGAGAAAATGTGTGTGTTTTAGAAAGGAATGTGTGGATGTATGTGTGAGGGAGAATGTGCGAGTGTGTGTGAGAGCAGGAATGTGTGTGTGTGTCAGAGAGATTGTGTGTGAGGGAGAATGTGCAAGTGTGTGTGAGCAGGAATGTGTGTGTGTGTCAGAGAGATTGTGTGTGAGGGAGAATGTGCAAGTGTGTGTGAGCAGGAATGTGTGTGTGTCAGAGAGATTGTGTGAGTGTGTGAGAGAGAGACTGTGCGTGTTAGAGAGAATGTGTGTATGAGTGAATGAGAGAGATTGTGAGAGTGTGTTAGAGAGAGATTGTGTGTGTGTAAGTGTGTGAGAGAGATTCTGTGTGAGAGAGAATGTATGAGCGTGTGTGAGCAGGAATGTGTGTGTGAGTGTGTGAGGGAGAGATTGTGTGAGCGTGTGTGAGCAGGAAGGGGTGTATGAGAGAGAGATTGTGTGTGAGCGCTTGTGAGCAGGAATGTGTGTGTGAGTGTGTGCGAGTGCCCAGTGAGGGCCTGCTGTGCCACCCAGGGTGTACCCCACATTCCGCCCTGTCAGTTTGGGCACCAGTTCAGTGCCAGTCTCTGAGGATAAAGAGATCAGACACTTCTAAAAGCAGGAGTGTGCTAATACAAAGTGCACAGCAGTCAGTGTAAAAGACTTTCTTCGAACAGTTAATCTTTCCTAGGGCACTGCATGGCCACTTTTCCTAAAACATTTAAGCCGTTCAAAAAAGTGCTCACTGGTCAAGCACACTGTGGACGTGTCCAAGGTGGCATTTAACGAAAACACGATAACTTTGATTTAATCATTCCACGAAGTTGAGTGGTAAAGGCGAAACAAATTAATCGACAGCGACATCTAGCGGAATTGGCTTTGGGAACAGCCTGAATATACCTCGATCTGTGCATAATGACTCGTGCATTCACGAAGAGTAATTCTTGATTTAATAATCCCCCACTCGCGGCGCGTGTTGAAATGTGAACGCTGACGCCTTTAGTTCTGTTTAATTCTATATTAATTTGTGTATACCTTTGGCTTTTTTTTTTCAATCTAACTTATTATCGTGCCGGACATAAAGTTAATCGATGCTTCCTTCAACGCCGTCGCCCGCAGTGGATGTCTCACCTGTGATCGATGCTCGGCAGAATCTGCACGTGACACGCGAGGTAGCCGCTGCTGCCCGTCACGAGGCCCAGACCCCTCTCCCACACGGGGGGATTCAGTCACGGCAGCGTCACGAACGAGCTATACTGCTCTTTCGCTCGTGGTCTTCAGTGTGCCATAAGGAACTTTTCCATCACGAGATTACTAGATCATCATCCCCCGCAATCCTTCTTTTTGCGCAAGGAAGCCCTGTCCTTCCGGTTGTAATTTTACACAAGGCACGAAAAATAAATACACGCCGTGTGCCTAGCAATATTTGACATTTTATATACCTGACGCTATTAGTATACCATACTATTTTTTGAAAAGAATGAAAGCAAGAAGATTCTCGGAGCTCGTCTGGGATCTTTATATCCGGGTTCATTTCTTTTGGGTTGTGTCACATAGCTGGGAGCAAAACCGAGTTACCGGAAAACACCTTTCCTTTGGAGAAAAGGAACATACTCTGGACGTCGCTCACAGTCAAGCTCTTGCATTAAAGCTTTCTCTGCATCAGATGCATGAAGGTGATTCGGATCGCTAAATAGCAAATCTGGAACAAAAGCAGATTTACAGAAGGGACAGGAAATATAATAACTGATAGACACATTAGACAACGGTTTATTTGCAAGGACATCACAAATCCTGGCCTCGATAGGGCTATATAACAACGGACCCCCTCCTGCCGCTGGTGAGACAGCGCCCCCCCGACCCGCAGCGCTGGACCTGGAGTGTGACGTATGACGTGTGACGTCAGCACGGGGTCGAATCGTCATCGGCGCAGACCCCGCGACTGTACGTTCGGGGCGGGGCCTGTGTGTATATAGATAATTTAAATAAGCATTACCCGTTAAATTCCCCGTCCAGTTCACCGCTTTTTTTAAATCGATATTGAATCAGTGCTACCTTGTTCAATAGCGGCAATTGCCAACAGTTTTGGAAACCACGGGGATCGATTTATTTTGGTCTTCCTTCCACACACGTCATTGTAATAAGCCCTTGTTAATGTTGAAAGTTGCTGTGATATACTATACCATTGAACATGCTTCCTCCGGCGGCCGGGGCAGTTGCGGGCAGCGACATTTTCGACGCAGTGCAAAGGGGAGACGCGGAGCGCTGCGCGTACCTCCTGGAGCTTGACCGTTCGCTGCTGGCGCGCCGGGGTGAGTCTGAACAGCGGCGTGTGCGCCGTGGGCCCGTGGGTCCGGTGTCTCTGCGTTGGGTTGTGCTTGTGTTGTGCGCCGACCGGGTGGGATTGTATGATTACAGTGAGCGAGTCTATCCTGTGTCCAGCCGAGCCCCCTGTGCTGTGCATTGTCCTCTACTGTCGGAGACTCGGTTCTCCGGGACGGGGGCCGGTAAGGATGTATTAAGCGGTACAGTACAAAGCACAATCAGAAGCTGCATTGATATTCATTCTGTATTAACCTATTTGATCATTTCTTATCGCCGGGTCTATACGGGTGGATTGGCACTAAGCTGCTATTGCTCGTTATTGGCAGTAATGCATGTGTTTTACTTCCCCTTTTATTGCTGGCAATATTCCTGGAGCGATTTCAGCACAGTTCCTGATTTATTTAATAACCGGGAAAATACTGTGGTTTGTATTCGCTCTTCAGCTTCACCCGTGATAATTGAAATGAAATCCAAGAGGGCTTTAACTACAGTAGGTCTACTCCCAAACCATACATGACTTTTGAATGCAAAGCTCCTATAATGTAAGCTTTTATTTTAACTTTTAAAAATGTCTCTTGACATTTAGTGATACATTTTGGAGGAAATGTTTCAATTATGTGACATTTTTTGACAGAATCTTCTGGGGTATTTGTTTATATTTATCAAACTTGGTATATCCTTTATTTCATGCTTGGAAAACAGTATAGATTTTGTGATGAATTCTTTTGGGCTGATGTCTCTAGTGGAGTCCCACAGGGATCTGTGCTAGGACCACTGCTCTTCCCAATCTGTGTCACTGATCTAGATTTTGGTTTTGTCTGTAAACTAGTCTTGTTTTCAGATGATAACAAAAGTATGAGCATTAGGAAACACTGTATAATCAACAAGGAATATTAATAAAGATTTATTTTGATATATCAAGTTTGTGTTCCAGGCAATGTAGAGTAGAAATAAAAAACAAAATGTTTGGATATATTGTATAGTAAAAATGTAGAACTTGAAATCAAAGGTTTCTGTGTCAAAATATGTGGATTACAGTGTACTAGTAAGGTCTTATTTTGAATATTGTGTACAATTTTGGTCACCATGCTACAAAAAAGACATTGCTGTTCTAGAAACAGTCCACAGAAGAGAAACCAGGTACAATCTTGAGCTTAAAGGAATGCCCTGCACTGAGAGGCTGAAAAAACTGACCTTTTTTAGTCTTGAATGCAGAAAACATCAAAGAGACTTCAGGTATTCAAAATATTCAAACTGTTTTAAGGTTGCAAAATCATCAAAGGTGTTAACAGCTTCAGACTGCTAAACATCTTCAGAATCAACAGGAACCAGAGCACCAAGTTAAGGTGGGACCTCCAGGACACTGTATTTACATGTACAGCTGAAAAGAGGCACTCTATCACTCATCAAACATCAGTACAACAGTAATAG